ATCCTGACCAGCTCACTCAGCCATCCATCCTTCCCAGATCAGTAAAATGAGGACCCAGATTGTTGGGGACAATGGGCTGACTCTGTAAACCGCTTAGAGAGGGCTAGAAAGCACCGTGAAGTGGTATATAAGTCTAAGTGCTGTTGCTAACAACTGCAGTGATTCACTCAACAACGGAGGCAAGAAAGATCATAAAATGGGGCAAAATTAATTAAACAAATGTCTGACTTAACAACAGACATGTTGGGCTCAGCTGTGGTCCTAAGCCGAGGACTACCTCTATCGATTCTGTTCTCTTCTGAAAGCAGGGAGGGGGAGCAAGGACTGGGAACCGCTGGCCGAGGGGGGATTTCTGTTCTTCTTTCATTTTTGTTTTCCCTTCCTTCCTTCCTTCCTTCCTAGAGAGAAGCTGGATTGCTTCCTGCCCTCCCACCTTTGCCATCGAGGCCACAAGCTCTTTTCCAGCCTTCGCAAACGGACCGGCTCCCGTCCGCCCGTCAGCGAGCAGGGTCTCCTGCGGGCCTTTCGCGAGGTCCCGGAGGCTGGGGCTTGCGAAGAACACGCCACTCTGCTCAGGTTGTACCACGCCTACCTGCAAAAGTGCCACGAACTTCCTTATTACGGGTAGGTTTGGGTGGCTGCGTGGAACCAGGAAGCCCAGGAGAAGTTTGGCAAGGGGTCAGTCACAGATCACGACTGACGCTCTTTTGTCCGTCTCTCTCTCTTTTTTCCTCTCTCTCTTTCTCTCGTTCTCCTTTCTTTCTCTTTCGTCTTTCTCTATTTCTCTCTTTTTCTCTTTCTCCCTTCTTTCTCTCTCCCTTCTTTCTCTGTCCCTTTTGTTTTCTCTCCCTTTCTCTCGCTCTCCTTTCTCTTTTTCTCTTTCTCTTTCTCCTGTATCTCTCTTCCTTTCTCTTTCCCTCCTCTTTCTATCTCCTCTTTCTTTCTCTCTTTCCCCTCCTTTTCTCTTTCTTCCTTTTTCCCTTCTTTCTCTCTTTCTCTCCCTTTCTTTTTCTCTCCCTTTCTCTCCTTTCTTTTTTTCTTTCTCTTCTTTCTTTCTCTCTCTCTCCCCTCTCTTTTTCTCTCTCTCCTTCCCCTCTCTCTCTGCAGCTGTGCCTTCTTCTTTGGGGAAATAGACAAGCCGGTTCAGGGATTGCTACATCGGGCTGGCCGCAAAGCCGTGACGGTGGCCATTAGCCTGGAAGGCGTCTATGTCATGGACACCAAAGAGAAGGTAAACTGGGAAGGGCTGTGTGGGGGTTGGCTGAGCCATTTGGGGGTCTTCGCCCTTTTTATTGATTTGACTTACCAGGTAGATGAGATGACCTGTTATTAGATTAGATTAACAGAGTCGGAAGGGACCTTGTAGGTCATCTAGTCCAACCCCACTTCCAAGCAGGAGACCCTACACCATTTCTGACAGAGGGCACTCCAGTCTCTTCTTGAAAGCCTCCAGGGATGAAGCTCCCACAACTTCCGAAGGAAACTTCTATTCCATGGGTTGATCTCACTTATTCAGTACAGGGGGATCCTCGACTTACAACCTGTTCATTTAGTGATCAATGTTACAACAGCACTGAGAAAAGTGAGGACCATTTTTCACACTTACGACACATTGTGGCATCTCCATGATCGAAATTCAGATGCTTGGCAACCGACTCATATTTATGACAATGGCTGGGTCCCCGGGGTCACGTGGTCCCCTTTTGCCACCTTCAAACAAGCCAAGTCAGTGAGGAAACCCGATTCACTTAATGACCCTGCTACTAACTTAACAACTGCAGCAATTCTCTTAACAACTGTGGCAAGAGAGGTCGTAAAACGGGGGCAAAACTCAATGAACAAATGTCTCACTTAAGAACCGAATTTTTTTAGTTAGTTTATTGTCGTTGCACCTTGTGCAACGAAACTAAATGCTCTCTTCAGTGTACATTACAACAGTAAAAATAAAACACAAACACATCCCCTTCCCATTCTATACAATTGAAATGAAAACCCCTGATATTGCCTTAATATTGCACTATACCGTAGAATTCAACATAGCTTCAGCTCTGGGATAGAAGCCGTTTTTCAACCTATTTGTCCTGGTTTCTATTGTCCTGTACCGGCTGCCAGATGGTAATAATTAAAAAAAAAAAAGGGGTGCCAGGATGAGATGGATTTTTAAGGATGTTTTGAACTTTCTTAAGGAGCGGGAACAATAAAGCTCTTCCAAAGAGGGGAGAGGGCAACCACTAAACAAATGTCTCGCTCAAGAACTGAAATTCTGGGCTCAATAGTGGTCGTAGGTCGAGGACTACCTGGAAGGGTTTTCTTTTACATATGGATGGCTACCAAGGCTCAGATCCTAGATGGGACAAAGTTGATGAAAGGCCCTTCTCTCGTTTCGCCTCCCGGATAAAACGTTTCTGCCTTTTTCTGTAGTATGTCCTGCTGGGCCTGAGGTTCCAGCAGTTATCGTGGGATCACACGGTTCCAAACGAGGAGGAACCTATCCTGTGGTTGGAATTCGATGGGGAAAATGAAGGCCAGCAAGTGAACAAGTTGCTCAAGGTTTACTCTAAGCAAGTATGTGTATGCTGGGGGAGCTATTTGAACTTTAATGGGTGTGTTTGTGTTTCCCATAGTAATTTACATTACAATTACCGTATTTTTCAGAGCATAAGATGCACCTTCCCCCCCCCCCTAAAAAGGGTGAGAATTTGGGTGCACCTTATACACTGAAATTGCCCCCCCCCCCACCGCCCCGGCCCCTTTTGGCTTCTGCCTCCCAGCAATTTACCTCATTGCAGCAAACGGGGAAAATGA